GGGAAATACCTGAAAGGAAGTGGAGCAGAAAGCATCTTTGTAGAGAGTGCTAAATGGACTAAATGTTGTTGACTCTGTCCTTGGTGGATAGAACTACAGCCGGTCATTGAAAGGATTGCAGTTATTGAAGGAGGCATTATTGCTGTTACAGTGGGAAGCGTTTTTCAAGGAAAGTGACAACCTAGAGATGCACAATAAAGAGCAACTGGATATGTTGGTGGACCTAAAAATAAAGGTTGCTTCATCAAACAGAGAAAGTTCAGCCACTTTTCAGAACTTTCAGGAAAAGAGCTGTGATCTCTTCAGCAACTTTAACCAATTCAATGATCATGCAAGGAGCACTAATGAAACCTTCAAGTATTGGGACACATTCATCCACCTAATTCAGCAAGTTGAAAACCTTGTTCGCGCTGACAGAGATGGAGATTGGGCATTACATCTCCAGGCTGTTCAGACCTTGCTTCCCATCTTTGCAGCCTTCGATTCAACAAATTACCTAAGATGGTGTTCTTTATACCTGGAGGATATGCACAAGCTACCAGAGAAAGCACCAGCCGTATATCAGGCCTTCGTTGATGGTAAATTTGTGGTGAAGAGAACACACGGGAAGTTCAACGCAGTAGGTGCTGATATGGCTTTAGAGCAGACAATCAATAGGTCGCAAAAGAGTGCATCTGGAATCATTGGCAACACAAGGAAGAAGAGATTTGTGGCAATGTGGGAGCTGATATACCATGAAATGTTGGCCATTAGCAATTTATTCCGAGAGTTAACAGGGGTCAACAGCAGTCTATCCGAAGAACATGCTATAAGTAAAGCAGAGATAACATCAGGGGAGCTCAAAGTGCAAGCCATCATTGCTACAATAGAGAAGAATAAAACCCCATTTCGGCTAGTTCCTGAGCAAGTGAAACTTTACAATATCCTCACCCAAAAAGTTATGTCTGACGAAATCAGAAGCCAGTTACTGTCGGTGATGGAAATTGGGACCAAGGCATATGAATCTCTGATGAAAGAGCGCTTTGTTGTGAAGTCAGTGAGGTTCTCAGCAACAATTCATCGGACAAACCTGAAGACATTTCTAAGCATTCATAAACCGGAAAAGGAAAGCAAAGGAAAGTCATCTAAGGGAAAAAGAAGGAAGATGCCCAAATGAGGCGCTCTATTGAAGTGGCACGTGCCAGAGGAAGGACCATGGAAGAGCTATTGCAGTATGATGTTTCCTCCACCTCATACCTGTTTGATCCGGAGGGACTGATGAAAAAACCTCAAAAGTGTGCACTTACCCAGGATCTAGAGACAAAACTGATAGACGAGGATGAAAGAGTTCCCAGAAAAGACTACTTGTATAGCTGATGTGATGGCTAACATAAGGAAGATAAAAACAAAGGGTATTCAGACCTTTGGTGAGTTTTGTGAACAGTTCCTGAACTACATCACTGTGGTTAGTCGGGGGTCAGACAGACTGGATTTGGTGTTTGACTCCTATGTTGAGGGTTCAATAAAAGATTCAGAGAGAAATCGCCGTCAGAACAAAGCCCCCATTGAAATGAACTCCATACTTTACGACACACCTTTACCCAAAGAAATGGACAGATTCTGGACATCCAGCAACAATAAACTAAAACTACAGATGCTACTTCACACTCAGGCCATGACGCGTGGAATAGAGACACCTTCCCCAGTTTATGTTGTGGCAAGTTACTTTTCTGGTGCATCTGAAAGTGCTGCATGCAAGGGCATCATGGATGGCAATTCTGCTGAAATACCAGACCTGTGTTCTGATGTAGAAGAGGCCGATGCTCGAATCATCCCCCATGCAAAGCATGCAGTGAGTAGTGCAACTCAACGTATTATTGTCTTGTCTGGTGACACAGATGTGCTTGTTCTTTTCATGCACTACTGGGATATTTTCAATTCTGAGGGTCTGAGGGAACTTTGGATTAGAGCAGATGTTGGGGATTCTACAAGATACATTCCAATTCACACACTAGCACCAAGAATCGGAAAGAACCTTTGCTATTTGCTACCCTTAGTGCATACATTGACTGGCTGCGATTATACCAGCAAAGTGGGGACAAAGCATGCAGCCTTGAGCGCGAATCCATTGGAGTATCTCAGTGCTTTGGATTCTGCATCAAGTTGTACTGATGATTTTACAGCATCCTGCGAGGCATACTTGGTCCAAGTGCTTAAAAGGAATACCACGTGCACAACAATGGATCAACTACAGGACTACATTTACCACACAGAAAAGAGGTCTCCTTCGATCAGCTTCCCCCAACTAGCCATGCAGTACAACAGCACATCCGTAGAGCCTATTACGCAACTTATGAGATGGTGACATTGTTACACCCCCATAAGCCAACACTTCTGAATCCAACTGCCTTTGGCTTCAAGAATACAGATGAACTTTTGCTGCCAATTAAAGGCCAGATACCAATTCCTGAAGAGTATACAATCCTCTGCAACTGCAAGTAATGCAGCAATGACAGATGTGCCTATCGCAAAGGTGGACTTCCTTGCATAAGTTTCTGCAAGTGCCAAAGTCTCCAGGGAGATGAGCAAAGTGTACAATGCAAGAATCCATCTGGTTCAATTCACGGTTGAAATCTTGGATAACTCACTGTGTATGACTGCATCTGTGCAGTGTGAAATCCTTAGTGATAAAGCACATGATACATGTAAGGTATGGGTAAAATCAGCATGACTATTTGGCTACAAACATGGTTAACATGACATTGCATCCAATACTGTTCATAATTGCAAAAATCCAGTTTGAAATGGTTAAAGTGGCTATGGGGATAATACGTTGTCACTAATTAATGGA